CCTGTACGTAGAGTTCAAAGGCAAAAAAGTTCTTTTAACCAAGGAAAATAATAATAATGTATTTCTTAGCCTAAATACTATTAGACAAACAACAGGCACAGATCTCATAAGACGCGTCTTAGGCTTACGAGATTACGTTTCTGGCAAAACAAAACAACAGGCACAGGAAGTGGCTCATAAACTCGCAGAACTTCATCCAGAGAGCATAAAATTAGTAGAACTACCCCAAGAAGCAGATGTAGCTAGCGACATCGTAGAAGACCTCACCCATGACGTAGACGTTCAATCCGAAGGGTTAAGTTACAGAGAACTTGTCGCTTTAGATAAATCGTTACAAACGATAAAAGGAGAATTAATTTTAAATCAAGGTAAATCAGATCAGTTAGATGCAAAAATTCAACAGGTCGAAGCCGAGTTGGAAGAAGCGACATCGGAAGCAGAACGTACAGAACTTCAACGGCAATTGGACGACCTACGAGTCGAGAGAACCGCGAGATTAGAAGTTATCAATAGAAATACCAATCAATTGAGGAGCCAAATCAATCGCATCAAGGAAACGATCCAAAAGATCATGAATTCGGATTTGACACTACGCGAGAAGATTTGAACTATATTTAGAGAGCAAGGTGTCACGATGGTAAGTATTTTAACGGCCTTTAGTTTAGCCGTAAGTACCATCGTTAGTAGTATCGTAGCTAGCGTTAGAGCTGTTGGAGCGAGCATACCAGCACCAAAACCAACGCCAGCTCCTCCTTCCAAAGGTGGAATTACCGATTGGATCAAACGGCAACTGTGGAATTTGGCCATCGTATTGAAGAAACTCGGGTTGAAAGCTTTAGGCGCTTTGCCCGGAATCATAGGTAGCATTTTGAGTTGGATTTTTAACGGGGCGAGTAAAGCTGTCGGATGGGTGGCAGATCACGTGTGGACCTTGTCTGTAGGCGTAGGTGTTTTGATTTTGACGTACGTGCAAAAGATGTAAAATAGGCAAAAAAAATTAAACCTCACCTCAAATTTGGGGTGATGTTTTTTTATGCCTTAGATCAAACCGTTTAAGTTAAAAGTTTAATTAACGTAAAACCGAGGACACCCATGGCAACGGCTCCGACGGTTAAGGACAGTTTTTCTTCGTTGTGTGCGTCTAACGGTTTGCTTACAATTGGCTTTATAATTGGCTTTGGTAACAGTTCTGGCTGTCTTGGTGCGCTCGCCTCTTCATTAAAATCATCTTCGCTATTCAAACTCGGTATGTATCCAGTCTTCATATCCTCAGTTGCGATTTGTAAATTATTGTTATAACCATCAAAAGTGCTGATTCGTAAGTCCATGTCCTAGGGCACCAGATATAACCCCGGGGCGACTACAAAGTTTAAAGGCGTTTTTGCGTATTGTAGCGAATCTTGGAATTGGTCGATCGAATGTTCGAGATTGGGGTCCGAATTAAGAAAAGATTCCACGATTGTAATAAATTGCCGTTGCGCATCTAATCCGGTGGCGGTGGCTAAAATGCTGGTCTGTGTCTGTGCCTGTGCCCCGATTAACGCGTATACGTAAGCTCTAATCGATTCATTTACCTTTGTGATTCCCACGTCCGTCAAACGAGACTTTTTAGGAACAAAATCCCACCAGGCCAAAGTGACCGCGTCCGACTGAGAAATCCAGCTGACCGTGTAGGTACTCGCGTGACCAGAGCCTTTAGGTGGTTTGGCCCATCCAAATCCCATGTAAGTAGATCCCCCGTATTTGCCGTTGGTCACGTGTAAGTCGTGCGCATTGTAGTTTTTACCCGGGACAGGTACGTAACCGTTGTCGTAATAATAAGTGGTACCTAATCCGTTTGATAATTTATCACGTGATTGTTTATACGATCTGTTTGGGTCTACTCCGTATAAAGGCACGTGTCCGTAAACTTCCGATGGTCGTAATTATTGTGTAACGTGTCAAATACGTCGTCGCTCGGAATGGGCATCACGCAATCGTAAAATATTTTTTGTACGGTGTAATATACGTGAAAGTTAAATAAAGCCGACACGTACGGATTGGGGTCAGAAGGCAGATCAAAACCCACACCGCAAGCAGTCGTCGCGCAATACACTGCAAAATTAAATTGATTTTGGTAAAACGATATCGGCTCGGTCACCCAGCGATTAACAGCTTCGTCCGTGGTGACTTTCGGTAATTTATACGCGTGCGTTAAATTTAGAAACTCGGCTGAAAAGGAATTTTCTTCGTTGACTAAAATTGTTATGCTACTAAAGTTGGCTCCCATTTATTTGATAAGACTTTTAAAGGAGGTGCCGTCGGTTGGGTCGGTTGATAAGGAGGTGGCTTTACTTGATATCGGACCGACTTTGTAAAACTTATTCGCCAAGTTTTTTCATAAGATCTTTTTTTAAAACCGCCGCCCGTTCGTTGGCTAGCGCTTCTGCTCTCTCGTTGATTTGGCGTTCTTCTTCTTTAGAAGTTTCTTTAGTTTCTTGCAATTTTGTAGACATACTCAATCTAATCTTTTCTTTCATTTCGTTAAACTTTTTCAGCTCGGATAAAATCAGTACAAATTCCTCTTGAGAGATGTCACCATCTTCAATCGCGTGAGATACGTATTCCTCGATGGTGTTTAATTTAGCGTCTGCTAACATTCGAATTCGTTCGTGTTTTTTGGTTTTGTGGGTGAGTCTACGAGAGGCATACTTCAATATCGCGTAAGCACCGAACGCACCTATGGCGATGCCTTCCATCACAAGTCCGACGGGTCCGGTAACGACGCCTAAAATAGCAGGAATGCCAACGGCTGCTGAGCTTGCACCCAATTGCTTCCACGCCGTACTCTACGTATCTGAGTGCGGTTAAAAGTCGTTTGATCTTTTTGTAGCTAGCTTCGCGCGAGTCGCGTTCTCTTTGAATTTGGGATTTAATTTCTTCGATCTTTCTGAGTCTGTAAATTTTGGTTTCCGCTTGTTCAGCCGAGTTTAAAGTCAAATCTGTTGTCGTCTTAGTCGTCATCTTTTATTATAATTATTATTCTTTGTTTGTCAATCTATAGGTCTTGTTTGGCAAGATTTAATTTGTCGAGGGCGTTTTCCCAGTGCTTATCCAAAACTTGAAATAGATCTTTCACTTTATATTCGGTTTCCCCAGTTGTCTCTAGATAACATACCACGATTAAAGTCTTCAACGGTTTACCTCTAGAGATCTTACCGTTTAAAACTTGGTTTAACTTATACTCTATTTCATCTGCTTCGCGGTTTTTAAAGCAAATGTTATATTTTTGTAGGGTTTTTCTTGATTTTGGTGGCGGCGTTTTTTTCCAAAGGTGATGCCTGTAATATCTATCTCCCATGTCTACAGGGGTGTACGAGGAAACCCACCCAATAATTACACCGCAATGTTTACATGCATATCTTTCGTCTATTTCAAGTATTTGGTGGTTACAAGGTGGCCTCGGTTTACTTTGTTTTTGAGATCCTGCTATGTGTACTTCTTTGAGACCGAGTAAGTGACAAAGTTCCGCATCAGTCATTTTATATTAACAGTTTATTTATTTAAAACAAAAAGTTTACCAATTGGGCGGGATTTCTACTTTATTTAAATGTTCGACGTCAACGTCATATCTAATAATTAGTCCAATTTTGTATAAATCCGCGTCGAGTTTAGTTGCTGAATCTGGCAGTGACTCGTTACACAGCGCGTGCCTCAGCTTTTTATGCTTACCGTCTACGAGCACCACGTGATCCATTCTTTCCTACTCGCAGCAGGTACAATACACGTACAACCAAAACACTCAATATAATGGGCGCACTTGTAACAGTCCTCGCAACTGTCCAAGGCATTTGAATTTTGGCAGTCATATGAACTAAGGCAATCTACGCAATTTCTACATCTACCACAATCGGCACAATTGGAGCAGTTATTACATTTAGTGCAATCGTTACATCTTTGGCAATTTCTGCAATTTTTACAATTTGTACATTTCCATAACCTTTTAGAATTTAAACAACGAGAGCAATCTTACGAATCTATCAAGTCAATTGAATTTCTTGTGTCTTTGCAAAAATAACAATTCACGTTTATAGTTTGATCTACCGTTTATTTTTATGTAGTGTTTATTTTTTCGTTTTTTATAACAGGTAAGTGACGGGAAGTCCCTTTTTTGTTTGAGAGTGATTGTTTGTGTGATCGGCTCACGTCACAAGTTGTTTACAGGAAAAGTGCGCCGCGTCAAAAGGTGAGTGGAAATCCCCGGCGCGGTTGGGTGAAAGGGGATTTGACCCTGAAGGTGTATATTTTACCCGGTATTTTGGGGGGCTTATTTTGGATCGATGAGGTATCCAGGGAAAATTGTTAAAATCTAGAATTCCAGATTTTTAGGGGATTCCCCCGATTTTTTGAGTCGATGTACTACCCAGGGGTTTTTGCTGAAAACGGCGGAAAAGTGGGTGTGCGCCACAACTGTCCGTTTCCAACTACTCTGACATGGCTGGCCTGGACACAGCATGACTTGCCAGGGGCTATTGATTACAATTTTCCATTTCCATCCGTAAACTCAATGTATACATGTACAGATGTCCATTAGAATACTGGAGAAATCATCTTCTACTGCAAAAGTATTTTATCCAAGAAAAGATGTACCAATATGTATGTACCCTACCTGCATGTAACACACAAGTATAGGCCTACTATGTGTGTGTACATGCTCTTTATTTTGAAAGTTCTCAATAGGGACCCCCAATAAGAGGCTGTGAAAACACCTAGAGTCACATGCAATTAAGAGGGTAGAATTCATACTACAATAAAACTATCTCTACATATTTATGCGGATGTACTGATTTGGGGAATACTGACACCATCTGGTCATTGTGGTGCTACAGTAACAGTTCAGCCGGTACTTTAATTTGATCCTACTGGTACCAGTGATATTGCTTTTATGGCAAGTATGCCAACCCTTGCATTTCAATTTAGTTTTAGGGCTGCTATTGTATAGGAATATCTAGCAATCACACCTTCTTAAGCCACTGAAAAATGCATCTTTCAATAAAGCAGTCGACAGTGTCTTCAGATGCTGTTAGCAATAAGAGTCGTCACTCATGCTGCTGTGGATGAAAGCTTCACTTTCTGTTATACCTTGCTTGCTTAGTAAGGAGGGCCAGTGGCAAATACCAAAGCCGCCACACTCTAAATTCCCTCCATCAGAAAAAAGGGCCAAAATTTATAATGCTACCGTTTCCTCATGGGAGAAGACATTTATTTGGTTTTTCTTCAATGTTCACTATCAGTTGTAATTGTATCAAAACATGACACAGTGTTTTGAATTCCACTGCCCATACCAGCTTGAACGACGGCTACCAGAACTACCACTGCAACAAGCTCACTTTCAAGAAATATAAAAAATTACTTTCACAAAACCTCTTTCTTGCTCTGATTCACTTTCACTAACATATTTTGTCATTGCTGGTCATGTTTTTAAGATTTCAAATTGGAATTTCAACACTGAAAACGTTCTCGTTACTAAAGAATCCTGTTGGTTTGATTCCGTGGTTTCAGTGCATGAAGAAGGAATTAGGTGCAAATGCTCTAATTGTAACTGAAAATTAAGAAAACGAAAACCAATGTTTACCAGCGGGAAGAGTTGGCCCGTCTACCTTCCTCAGGGAGATTCTTGTTGATTAGTTCTGCAATAAAAGAACACTTTTTAAGGTAAATGCAAGTGAGCCATGAGCAAAGGTTTAAAAAAAATCTTCTTTAAACACATTTTTTCTTAAATTCTTAAATTCACAAAAGCTGTTTGGCACCCCTTGCTGGGTAACCTTACTGAAAGTGCATTAATAAACATTTACAAAATTTAATGGAACATATGATCTGGTGCATCTGGTGCCATTCTGGGGATGCTAATTGTGTGGGGGGAGCACCTGCAGTTCACAGATTTTTGGGGCATGGGCTTCCGCCGGGGGGGGGGGCACATCCCCCATGCCCCCCAGTTGCGCCACTGCCGCCATATTTCCATAGACAGCACAAAAACACCAGAAAAGAAAAATTTTAGGACAGGAAATACCCAAATTTCCAAGTACAATTTTTTATGCTGAGACAGTTCCAACAATAACGTTTCTCAGTGTTGTTATTATGAACTATTTTTAATGTATTATTCCTGAGAGAAAATCACATGTAAATTCACCTTCGTGTGGATAAGATAAGATTGCTCCATCATCACTTGACTGGTCCAAGTCCTCATTTGTAAATAACACACATCAATTAGGTGGCAACGTAAAATTGACCGACTGTTCCACCATCACTGCATACCTGCGCTGTCACCTAGGGTTTGTCACCTCTGGCAAGCAGTGTCGGGGCAGAACATCAAGCAGCGTCAGCAACCCAAACGACCCCGGTGATGTAAACCTGCGTGGTCATCGATTGTTCGTCATCCCCAACAGACAACATTTTGGCCGAATACCCAGCACCTGCACCCGAAGTACCGTTACCACTGGACACCTGTGCCGCCATTGAAGGGTCATCATCTCCTGCATCGTACATCCAGCCACCTTCTCCACCTGCTGAGGCCTCTCCAGTTGACATATCTGGCCTGTCAACTCTGCTGTCCATGCCCCTTGGTTGCAACCAACAGGACATCCTGGTGCATTTGATATCCATCGAGACCAAGCAGGGTCGCCTCATCCAACATATCAACAGTCTGAGGGGTACTGTGGATGCATTGTGCAACATGATTGGTGATCTGGTGTCTGAGAGAGCCGCTACTGCTGTTGCCCGTGAACCCTCGGTGCTCAAGTGTACTGAATACTTTGTCACTTTAGGTAATGAACATTCGTCGATTGAAATGCAGCATGGGGACTCTGAAGGCTGTTTCTTTTGTGCATCAAGTGGACAGTCCCTAGTCCTCAGCTGATGTCCGCAATCTTCAGTGAGACTAAGCAGCCAATGGCCAACTTCAACGGGGGGTTGTGCTGAGACCAGGAGGCGACCGCGTGTACAAGAGGGCACTAACGGAGGACATTAGGTTTAAGGCCATACATAGTGAGGACGCCCCACACATGCTCGATGGGATTTCTTGCTGAAAATCCTCGACAGTATGCTGTACCTAGCAGAACATCGAGGTTCAGGTTCTTGAAGAGTCTCATCACAAACCAGTCATTTGTCACATGGTTGACATTGAACTCGGACCCACCATCTGCAAGTATCGTGACGCAGTTTTCTTGCTGTTGTGTATCAGCGTGAACAAGTCATTGCAATGACTGGCGAGCGTGACTTTGGTGTGTGGCCCCCTGTTGACAACGTTGATGGCACTGCATTCAGGAAGGCTGGTGAAAAAATAAATGTGAAATTAATATATAATGTCATTTGACTCACGGTCATATTTCTCAATCTCAAAACCAAAGTGCAGTTTTTTGGCAGTTCATGTACATTTACTATAATACAATGCTTCATCAGTCAAAGCCAACTGTTTTGTTTGCATTGAATGATTCCATCTGGCAGGACAGGTGAACTACTGACAGAACCAAGGCAAAGCAAAACAAAGCATAAACGATTCAATAAACGGAATGTGGTGGGTTGGAATCCTATAGGTCTTTTTGCAAGCTCATGGGTAAACACTGAGTATAAATCCAACTCTGTACTATGCATTAACATCTCCCTGACTGAATGAGACAAAGCAGAGACAGTAAATAATATTTATGCAACAAACTGACCCAATTTCTCATGAGGAACCTAAACTCTAAATACCAGTAGCACTGTCTGCCAAGGTTGTCAACTGTGATCTCGGCTGGGGACGGGGGTAACATTTCCATGTACCACGATGGGGTTATGAGGTGGCCCGGAGTCGGAAAGTCCCGGTGATACAAGTTTGGTGCATCGCTCGTTGGGAAGTATCTTGTTACGCTGCATCTTGTACCCCAATGGGGTGATGAGGTAGCACGGAGTCGGGAAGTCCTGGTCATACAAGTTTGGTGCATCACTGGTTGGGAAGTATCTTGTTACGCTGCATCTTCTGTCAACAGCTGTCGTGCAGGAGCTCACCCTCAGCTTATATGTTTGTTGTCTATGGAGAACATCACCCCAGACTCTGCAAACCTGCGGCATGCCTCACGCGCATACTTGACTCTCGCCAAATAGTAGTGCTCATTTATATTCTCCCTTCTCTTGTCATTTCGCTTGGCAGGAATCTTTGCGTCAATGAGCCCTTTGTAGTTCTTGGCAGCACCAGAGTTCATAGACGGAGCCTTCATCCAACGGTGGATCGTGTCAACTCCTGTCATTGGCCAAAGAAATAATTCTTGGTCATATTTGCAAAGGGGATGTAATTCTTTAGTTATTGTTGTCGATCCTTTCCATATTTGATAAATTCAAAGTTAAAATTTCTGAATGAAGTGGTTTCTCCCTGAAAACTATACTATTTTCACCCTTTCTGAGAATGGTACAACCCAAACCAGCAAACATTACCGCTTGTTTTAGAGCAGGTGTTGATAATACATACACATGCATGTACTGTATTTCATAGCAATGCCAAAACAGAGTATCCTAAAAAGAGGAGAATTTCATTAAATGAAAATCTGTCAAGCGCCCCCTCCAAACTATTTCTTTTCAAAAATGGTTCAAAGTTCTTGTTCAGCATGGAGTTCTGATCTCCGCAGACTGTGCAGATGATGTAAAAACGTTCCGTGGTCCATGGAATTTTGCAAAAACAGCAAATGCAAAACTATAGGATTTTCATTTGCAGTAATTTTTAGAAATTAGCAGATTTTTGTGGTTTTTATTCATTCGTAGTACAAATCCATTGTTTTATTTTGTATTTTGATATCAGTGTCTTGAGAAAAATGTTGATCGTTGTTAAGGTAAAGGAGCAGCTCATGTAAATTTGCCTGCAAAAATCCACGGACCACAGTATGTTTTCATAGCATCTGCACAAGCAGCAAAGATCACGATTTTATGTCAGACAAGAAATTCAAACCCCAATTTTGGTAGTTTGAGGATCAAGCCCCCACAAATCTTCCTTGAAGTTTCATTCTCTTTTGAAAATATGATTTTGTGGCTTGGATTCGAAATACGAACAATGCGTGATCCTGAAGTATAGCAACCGGATCGCGACGCTGAGTGCATGTGTATTACACGCTGAAGTGTACACAAGGTCCACACGCTGTTGCGGGTGCTGTTGCATGCCCCAAACGCCAGTCTAATCAGTATAAAATGTGGTACACACTCATGTATTGTGGGCGTAAAGGTCCTTCGTGTAGGATAAACAGGAGAATAAATGTCTGGAAATTGCACATTTCGTCCCCCAAATCGACCGTCGCAACAACCACAAAAACAAGTGGCCACGTTGGTTGGCTTGGGCCATAACATTATCTCTGAAGGGGTGATCATAAGACAATATACCATTTTGCTAGAGAAGGCACCTTTTCATTGAACAATTATAACTTAAAAACAATCAAAAGTCTCTTTCAGCTGTACAATGTGTTTGAGTTGTACAGGAAGCGTGTTCACAGATGTTTTTAATGTTACCCGCTGATTGTGGTAGACTCTTCCAACAACTGGCCAGCGTACACATTTTTTAAATTGACTGTATGCACTAACGATAACATTAGTGTAGAACTGCTCCTGTAAACGGTTGAGATTTTTTTAAAGTAGTGCCTTTTCCAAAGATCGTCCGGACGAAATTTACCAAATTTTGAAAACAACAGCACTCAGGCGGAGAAATTTTGCAGATCGTTTGTCTCTATAATATACTTGTCTTACATTAGGACATTTCATGGAAATTTGGTAGTCCTGTGTTCCTGTTTACCCCCTTTGCCCACTTTTTGTAATAATATACATGTATTGAGGTATAACATTAATAATTACCCAAATTTGGCCTTAACTTGGCGAGGTCAGGTATCACTTCCATCAGGTGTTTCTTGATGGAATGGCAGGTAGATAGAGTCGCATTTCCCAGTTCCTGTTTCCCGATGCCTGTGCGCTTCAAACCCGTTTTCTTCGATGAACTTCCTTATTGTTTCTATGGCCTCGGGAAACAGCTGGGCAACTGACGGCCTTCCTCTCTTTCTTTAAGCTTCAGTTGATTCCGGACCCGGGTTTTTCCGCTTGTTATGTTGATCTTTCTTGTTTTCTATGGCTGCAAGATAGAAGGGTGCATAACAAACGTTTAAAAATATTGTACATGTACACCAAAACACACTTAAACCAAAACTTTGAAATTGTGACACATTCCAATTTTACATAAAGAAAACCTTTGTTTTTTTTTTCCAGACATGTCTCATAAGGTTGTGAACAGTACGGTTCATCAAGTGTTGTCTATGAATGGAACTTTTTTCAAAGCTTGCACATGTACATCCAAAGGAGTAGGATGAAATTTTAATGTGTACCTCAAGAGGGCTTTTAAGAAGGAGATCATCCCTATGCCATACGCCAGTGTCAGTTTCCCCGACTGTTTTACAGCAAAATGGTATTGTGTCTAAAACGAGGTCATAATTATTAGTCTGGATGTCGAGCTTGTGGCTTAATTGCAGCATAGGAATGATGGTTTTGAATTTTGCGAGCTTGGATTCTCCATCGTGCGCAGCCACCACACCGTAAGAGTTTTACCATGCATTCGTGTGCTTTTACCTTGAAATGGTGCTCGTGTACTGCCTGTGGAGTTTCAGCAAATAGACAAAGCCAGGAAGATGACCGCCAGGATCGTTAGAGGCCATGGTGTATAACAAATGTCAGAAGCATGCAGGACGACAAGTTGACAGCTTGCGTATGATAACAACATGTACAATTACACTGTACACATAATCTGTTCATTGTTGCTTGGGAAGCCAGGCAAAGATTTTCAATGTGTCACACTGCAGAGGTATTTATGCACGCCATGTCACTATGCAAACGGCGTCCAACTATTTATGGATGCATAGGATGCAGTAGTAATGCCAAAGCAAGTTCTGGATCAGCCTCCTTTTCACTCTTTTCCTCAAACCCTCGATGACCTCATCGACTGAAACCCCCCGTATACCTCATTGACCTTTTTCAAAAACCCTCCAAAACACCAGCTCTCTAAAACCACTTTTCATTTTCGTAAAAAACCCTCCTATACCTCATTGACAGTTTTCGCTCTTTTTAAAACCAGGTCAAAAAAGCAGAAAGAGGCATCCCAAATCAAAATGGGGACTTTCCCCCTCACCTCCCCAACCCAAACAACCCCGTGACGTTTGACCTCAATGACCTTTGACCCCTCCCAGCAGCCCCCCAAACCAAAAAAGGGACTTCCCCCAGACCTCATTATCCCCAAACCAAAAAGGGAATTCCCGGGACTTCCCCAGTCTCGGTTAAAACTGTGCTCACCCGATGCTTTGAGGGAAAATGAAATAAATTCACTACTGGCTTAAGTAAATAGTTTTTTTTAAATAGAGATGTCAAACAAAAGAACTGAAGCTCTGAGAAAAACTGAAAAAAAAATAAATATTTACCTATATATAGAGACATGAAAACACCACAGAAATCACAACGCCGTCCTTTCTGAATGGACTTTAGACGATTGAAAAAAACATTTTTATCTGACTTTGTCAAACGATACAACATTTCATTATCACCAGCTAAACGTAGAAAACATTCTAAATCTGAACTCATAAAAGGAATTCAAGCGGGCCAACAACAATTTAGAAATCTTACATGCCAATCATACCGTCAGCTCTTACAAATAGCACAAGATAACGACATACCCTCTACGGCCAGGCACAAAAGGCAATGTACTACGAAAAGACATAATCGCCGCAATTAGATCACACATTAAACCAGAAGTGATCGAAGAGGTAAACATCCGAAGAATCCGGCGATTTCAAGGTAACTACAGAAACTGGGAACTAGAGCCTACTTTCTTTGCCGACGACTTGATACCTTTTTTTGACTTTTATAAAAAGTATATCGAAGGCCAAGTGTTGGCAGAGTTTAAAGAGTTAAACTCTTACAAGTTGCAGACAGCAATAAAGGTTAAGTTCAAAATGGAAAAGCCCAGAGTCGAAACAAAATTTGGCGTTTTCACATTTACGAGCAAGAATAACATGGTGATTTCTAAACCGGACATAATGCGTGTTTTGAAGGAACAAATAGCAAAACATCTTGAAGAAGTCGAAGCTCACAAACAGAGAGGCTCAGGCTGGTTTTTTTTACCAAGTCATTGCGTTTTACATCAACGTGGTCGAGTATAAACCTGTGGGAGCGACTTCCATTCCGTTGCCCAAAGAACAGGCACACAAGAAAGCAATCGTTAATGTTCAAAACAAGAATGACTCAGAGTGCATTTGCTGGGCGTTGACAGCTGCTTTAACCACTACCTGCCCGGGACTCCGAAATCGGAGCTGTATGGTTTATATGCGTGGCCAGGGTCTCCAAACTCGAACAAAGGAAACAGGGCCCTGTAACAAAAGACCTACTCCGAACAAAAGACCACACTGCTGGGCATTACCGGCATTTTTCACTCTCAAAAGTGGTGATAATCCAGCGTAGTTTTGAAACCGAACACCAGGGTTTGGGGCATTGAGAGCAAGCGGATTACCACCGGGGACAAAAGCACTCCACCACCGCAGCGATGAGCCACACAGCACTGCTGCACGCTAATCTGGCCCCTATTGAAAAGAGGTCAACAGTGCACTGAGCCAGGTTCGTGAACAAAAGACAGTTGTATAACACCGCACAATCTGGGCTCTGTTTACAAGGCTGCAGGCCTGGCTGAAATAGTCGGGCGTCAATGAAGGTCACCTGTCAATTTAGAATAGTGCCTAAAGATTACTTCGTGCGGCTATAAACGACCGTTAAATGGAATGATGAGTTTTTGAAGGATTTTGAAAACGAAAAAAATGATAGTCATGCCGGCCCAGCATCATCGACGTTGAAAAATGCCCCGGCACGAAGTGGTTGAAGTTATATTCAGACGTCAAACAACAGTTAGAAACCAACCCAAATACAAAGTAAACAACGAACGTGCCTCAACTTACACTACAGACGACGGTTTAACCTTCACAAAAGTGGACTTCCCCACTCCCTTGTCGCAGATTCCACACATTGAATCACAGAACAACTTGGCAATCAACGTATTTGGTTACACGAGGAAAGAAGGTGTCTACATACTTTATAAAATTAAACACATAGGCGATCCAATCAACTTGCTCTACTTTAACCGAGATGAAACAGCTCACTATTGTTGGATCAAGAACTTTTCTCGGTTAATGGGCGACGTCAACAAACACAAGAGCAAATCGTATTGGTGCTTCAATTGCCTATCTCACTTTAAACAGAAGACAGACTCGGCAGGCACCAAGAAGACTGTCAAGGAAAGCGCCCACCAGAGTACAGTTACCAGTTGCGGGTAAAAACATTCTCAAGTTTGCAAATTACAAGAACACGCAAGGCGCCCCATTTGTCATCTACCCAGATTTCGAGTCTGTTTTGGAGTGTCTCCCACCAAAACCATTAAACACGGTCAAGACACAAATTCACAAACTGTGTGGCTATTCTTACGTGGCCGTTAGATGTTAATGTCGACCTATAGAGGTCAAGACGGAGCCACCAATTTTTAGAATCGCTAACTAGAGAAGTTGGCACGATCAATAAAACATTTGCCGACCCAAAGCCCCTTCCCTAGTCACCCAAGCTACAGAAACTCTACGACAAATACAACAGATGCTGGATCTGCGAAAGGCTCATTCGTCCAACTGAAGAATCTCAGTGCCAGTGCCCAATTTCAGACGAACCAAAAACTAAAGGCGAAAAGGCAGCCTTTAGTTCCTTAAATGACAGTGGTTTCAGACAGTACATTTGCATGACTTGCGAGAAACCCATTAACAAGTTTTGAAAAGTCCGAGAACATTGTCACGCAACGGGTAAACATAGAGGTCCTGCACACGCCAACTGCAATCTCAAGTTACAGGTTGTGCCAAATCAAACGCCTATTCTGGTAGTGTTACATACTTTAGAGAAGTACGACGCGCATCTAATCATGCAAGGTGCTCGGGTGTTTGAAGGAATTGAAATAAAAGTCATTGCTAAAAACACCAAAAATTACATTTCGTTTTCCTGTAACCAGCTTAGGTTCCTAGACTCGTTTCATTTCATGGCAGCCTCGCTAGATCGGTTGGTCAAAAATTGTTCCTCGCAAGATTTTAACCTACTTTGCGAAAGGTTTCCAGACAACACAGATTTGCTCTTGGAGAAGGGTGTCTATCCGTATGAATACATCAACTCCTTTGATAGATTTGGAGAAACTGGATTACCTCCAATAGAGGCGTTTTACAGCTCGTTGTAACAGCAGTCTGTTACAGAAGACGAGTACGTAAGAGCTCAAAATGTGCGGAAAACGTTTACATGTAAAAATCTCAGAGACTACCACGATTTGAGAAACAGACGTATTGTTACTGGCAAGCATGTTTGAAAACTTTCTTTAAGTGTGTAAGATGCACTATGGTTTAGACCCAGCCAACTATTACACATCACCCGGGCTATTGTGGGACATGCTATTAAAGATTTTAAAGCCAACTATTACACATCACCGGGGCTATTGTGGGACACGCTATTAAAACACTCTGGTATCGAACTTAAACTTTTGATGGGCATAGACAAGCAAGGGCTAAAGGAGGTGGCATCTTGAGCGTCGGTGCAAAACGTTATGCAAAAGCAAACAATCCAGATTTAAAACACTACGATCCCAACATTCCGATGTCACATATCATGTATCTAGATGAAAACAATTTGTATGGCGGGGCCATGAATCAACCTTTACTGATGGGGAAATTCCAATGGGTCAAAGACATAACCAAGTTTACTCCCAAGTTTATTTTGGGGCTTTCTTCCGAGCTTTAAAGGCTACACGCTCGAAGTCATTTTAGACTACCCGAAACACTTGCACGACACAACGACTTCCCACTAGTGCCCGGGAATTTAGTGGTGCCAAACGAATGGTTGTCGGACTATCAACAAGACTTGGTGGAAAAAAGAGAAAGGGTTACTTCAATAGACAAGCTTGTGGCGACTTTGGGTCCAAACATAAATACGTTGTACACTATCGCACGTTGCAAAAGTACCAAGAGTTAGGTTTACAGATAGAAGAGGTTCACACTGTAATGTCCTTTGATCATTAACCTTGGATGAAAAGTTACGTTGACAAAAATACCGAGCTACGCAAAAGAGCAAAGTCTGACTTTGAGAAAGACTTCTTCAAGTTAATGAATAACTCGGTATTCGGCAAGATGATGGAAAACGTGAGGCTCCGCATCAACGACACCTGCTGAGAGATTTACAAGACGCCGATTGGTACAAGTGTTGAACTTCTAAACCACACTGTAAAATGACTACCCCGTTCAAAGAGTGCAATCTCGCATTTGTCGAAATGTACCGTATTAAAACACAGCTGAATAAGCCCATTTACTGTGGCGTGAGCGTGCTCAACCTGTCTAAACCGTTAATGTACGACTTTTACTACAATGAGTTGAAAGCGGACTTTGGCTCAAACATCTGTCTTTTGTACACTGACACAGACAACCTATTAGCAGAGATTCAAACTGACGATTTAACCGGTTACCTATGTAACAAGCATGACCTATTCGATTTGAGCAACTACCTGCCCGGTCATATACTTTACGATCAGAAAATTAAAAAAGTTTTTGGCAAAATGAAAGACGAATTTGGCGGTCAAGTGATATCGGAAGCAGTCACTATTTGGCCAAAAATGTACTCCATTTTAACAGACAAACAGAATTTGAAGGAGAGAAAGGAGTTACTAAAGTAGTAACCCCAAAACAGTTGTCGCACAAGGCTTATAAAAGGTGCATACATGTATTTGAACGGTTACAACACTTTTTTAAGCTGGAACTCTTCAGATCAGACAAACATCTGTTGTACACAGTCATGCAAAATAAACTATGTCCGTCACCCTTGGAAACAAAACGTCACCTGTTACAAAACGGAGTAGACACTTTAGCTTACGGGCATTATCAAACTATTCGAGAAGGTGGCAACTCAGTGTTTTTGGGTATCACTTGAAGTTCTTCTTTAACAAAACTCCTCTTGGGCCCCTCTAACAAATAATACAAAGTGGGCCCCGTTTTCACCCCCTTACCCCAGACCCGTTTAAACTGGCTCGAACGGTTCTCAATTTGGTAAACGTCCACGGACCAGACCGGATCTGTCACCCTTTAGACAGTGACAGCTTCTTGTTCCCCTGGGTAATATAGATACCTAACTAACGGTTGGGACAAGTTCTTTGTGTTGTTTATCACTAGCCCTTTCAGGTGCACTTGGTGCTTGTTTCATGCGGTCTAAATTGACTGCTTCCTCAGGTTCTTTCCCAATCAACCTAGTCTTTGCTTCTTTGAGCGATTTTATTACTTGGGGCAGATGTTTTACCCATTCTACGTTACATTCGACTACGTTTAACATTTCTTGCGCGTATTGATGACCAAACAGCCTTTCAGTTGACGTCTTATTGAACTAATCGACGATCCCCTGCGACCTATGAACACCGGGTTCGCCCACTTGAATCTCGACCTTGTGTTTGTTAAACAACTTTTTAAATTTGCCTTTAAATTCTGATCCCGAGTCCACCTCGATTAACCGGGACCAAGTCAAAGGCAACCTTTTGTAAATCTGTTTAATTGCTTCTGATGCTTGTTCGGCTGTTTTACTTGTCAATGGTTCGGCCTCTTTGTACCTGGAACCCACATCGATGACAGTCAAAGCGTATTTAAAAGTTTGGGGGTTTACTCGATCCCAAGGCAAGTATAAAAAGTCCAATTGGTGCGCCTCATTTGGTTTTACAAACTCTGATTGCAGCATCATCAGCCAAAAAACAACCAAAGCAGTTCCTCTCAGGATCCAAACCAAATTCTAACTTTCTGATCTTCCGAAGGCACGCAGAAATCAGACAACTTGGGCTCTGGAGGCATGTACATGAATTTGAGTCGGAATCTCTGCCCCCATGGACAAAATCCTATCCTGGGCTAGATTCAGAGACAACATTCTCATCGTCTAAAATGGCCAACTTGATTCTTTCACCCAATTCGTTCATCACATGAATCAACTGCACCCTACCCTCAAATTCACTTTTGAGGCATCCGAAACTTCCATTACCTACATGTATCTGGACCTTACAATTTCTAAAGGTCCGCATTTCCTCTCAAACGGTACCCTGGATACAAAAGTATTCACGAAACCAATGGAAACGTTCCAATACCTGGAAAGAACTTCATCCCATCCACAGCACATATTCCACGGCTTTATCAAAAGAGAAATCCTGAGATATGCCAGAAATACAAATAATGGGAATGATTTTCTACAAAAAAAACCAAAGTTTCACAGAAAAATGTTTGAAACAAGGCTATAATC